GATGAGTGTGGACCACACTCCCCATCTTACCCATGATGTTTATCTGAAAGGGGGCTCTGGCCTCTAACCACAAACCCACAGCTGGTGCCATTTGAGAGTTTAATGCTGGGCTGTGCTTAGGCCAAGTTAATGGTGATTTGGCTGCAGCCACCACACAGAAAGGAAGGGACAGGGGAGACCAGCTCTCCTAAGCACACTTCAAGCAATACCCACTGCCCTATTTCTCACAGCAGTGGGACTGGGGACTAGCCTGCCCAATGCTCTGCAGTTACCACCATCACCAACATGGACCACTTTGGTTCCAGTGGGTGGCTCCAACACTGCTACTGCTACCTCCCACATCATACCAGTTGCTCACAAACCTAAGAAACTGCCCACACACCTGGCCCTCTGCTCCAACTCTGAGCAGGCCATCTGAAGGCCCAAGAATTGGCCCTTGAGGACATACTAACATCGCTGCCAGGGTAAGCTGCTCTGTGACCTAATCTCAGGCATACTCAAGCCCACTGTTGCCACTACTGGGGCCCAAAGACTGGATTGGCCAAGCAAAACTTCACCACAGCCTCAAATATTAATGGCACCTTAAGCCACCAAGTAAATCAAGGATACTACTGTGTGTACTGCCTAAGAAATCATACAAAGATCACATGACTGTAGGCACTGAAAACCAAAGCCAAAATATCCTACTCAACTAACAACATACATATAGCTCTAGGAAAAAATTCTTCCCTTCAAAAGCAGTTTTGAAAAATTGGAACAAGCAAGTATTATATTATATGTGCAGATATCAACAGAAGGACACAGGAAACATGAAAAAGGAAATATGACACCACCAAAGGACCATATAACAATTGTCCACAGTGAATCCTAATCAAAAAGAATTCCTCATTATGCCAGATAAAGAGTTCCAAATATTGATTCTAAGGAAGCTCAATGAGATGCAAGAGAAATCTGATACAAAGAAATTAGAAAATCAATTCAGGGTATGAATGAGAAATGTACCAATCAAGATAGGTATCTTAAAAGGAGAAAAAAAAAATCTGGAGCTGAAAACTCATTAAAAGAAATATATAGTGTATGTGAAAGCTTCAGTAAAAGACTGTACCAAGCAGAAGACAGACTCTCAGAACTTAATGACAGGTCTTTGAAATAATCCAATTAGACAAAAATTAGGGGAAAAAAGAATAACATAGAATGAGCAAAGTCTTCAGTATGTATGGGACTACCGTGTTTCCCTGAAAATAAGACCTACACATAAAATAAGCCCTAGCAGGATTTCTAAGCATTTTCACAATATAAGCCCCACCCCGAAAATAAGACCTAGTGATGGGCATGGCTACACATCATATCTGCACAACCCATGCATTACATCGCTAAGCGGTAAAGAAGATGAGCAGCCCTTTTCATCTGCCCCAGCTCTATTGCTCAACAGGAGAGATTGGGGCCAATGATTCTAAGGGAAATAAAGTCGCAAGAAATTCAGGATGGAATTTGGGGTTTGGAGAATTATGATGATGTTCCAGAAGACAACTTAACTATATTTGAATAAGTGTAGATTGTTGTACCGTACTTTAAAAAAATAACACATCCCCTGAAAATAAGCCCTAGGGTGTCTTCTTGAGGAAAAATAAATATAAGACCCTGTCTTATTTTCAGGGAAACATGGTACATAAAGAGACCAAACTTATGAATTATTGGTATTCCCAAAAGAAGATTGAAAAGTTTAGAAAAGTTATTTAAAGAAATAATCAATGAAAATTTCCCAAGACTAGTAAGAAATGTAGACATTCAGATACAGAAGTTTCAAGGTTTCCCAGGCAAATACATTGCAAAAGGACTTTACCACAACATATTATAAACAGAATGACTAAAGTCAAAGTGAAAGACAGAATTTTAAAAATTAGCAAGAGCAAAGCATCTTGTCACCTACAAAGGAAATGCCGTCAGACAAACAGTGGACCTCTCAGCAGAAACCTTACAGGCCAGGAGAGAATGAAATAGCATGTCAAAATACTGAAGGAAAAAACTTGTCAGCTGAGAATTTTATATCCTGCCAGAATAAGCTTCATAAATGAAGGAAAAATGAAGTCTTTCCAAGACAAGCAAACAGAGAATTTGTCACCACTGACCAGCCCTACAGGAAATACTCAAAGGGTCTCAAATATGGAAACAAAGACCAATATTTACCATCAGAAACACATGAATATAAAACTGAAGATCTAATAGATCAATCACACAAAGGAGAAATAAAAAGGAATTACAAGGTAACACAATAGAAGTTCAGCAAACCACATAGACAAAAAGAAAGGAAGAATTTATAGAACTACAAAACAATTATATGACAGGAAAAAAGCTTAACATATCAACATTAATCTTCAATGTAAATGGATTAAATGCTCCACTTAAACAAATATAGATCAGCAGAATGGACAAAAAAAAAAAAAAAAAAAATCCAGCTATATGCTCCTTACAAAAAACTCACACATAAAGACACACACAGATTGAAAACAAAGAGGTGGAAAAAGATATTCCATACAAATGGAAACCAAAAGTGAGCAGAGTATCTATACTTAGATAAAACAGATTTTAAATCAAAACCAGTAAAAAAAAAAAAAAGACAAAGAATGTCATTATATAATGATAAAGGGATCAATTCAGCAAGAAGATATAAAAATCCTAAATATTTACTAGAGCTAAAGAAAGAGACAGCAACACAATAATAGTGGGGATTTTCAACAACCCACTTATAGCACTAAGGAGATCATCAAGACAGAAAATTAAACAAGAAACACTGGACTTAAATTGGGCTTTAGACCAAATGGATTTAACAGACATTTATAGAACACCCAACTAGAGAATACACATTATTTTCACTAACACATGGAACATTCTTGAAGATATACCACATGTTGACCACAAAACTAGTCTTAAGAAAAAAAATTGAAGTCGTATGAAATATATTTTAAGACCATAGTGAAATAAAGCTAGAAATCAATCAGGAACTTCAGAAACTATATGGATATGTAGAAAACAAAACATGCTCCTGAATGATCACTAGATCAAAGAAATAAAGATAGAAATTTTAAAATGTTTTGAAATAAATGAAGGTAAAAATCACAACATACCAACACATGTGGGATATAGCAAAAGCAGTGCTAAGAGGGAAGTTTATGGCATTAAATCTCTACATCAAAAAAGTAGAAAGACCACAAATTAACCTAACAGCACATGCCAGGGAACTAGAAAACAAGACAAACCAAACACAAAGTTACCAGAAGAAAAATGACAAAGGCCAGAGAACTAAAATGAAATAGAGACCAAAAAAAATAATAATAATAAAAAAACAAAGGATCAATGAAACAAAAAGTTGGTTCTTCAAAGAGATAAACAAAATTGATAAACTACTAGACTAACCAAGAAGAGAAGATCAAAATAAACAATCTGAAATGAAAAAAAAAAGATATTATAACATACCACAGAAATACAAAAGATCAGAGATTATGATGACTCACAATCTAGAATGATTACAGGAAATAATTGAATTCTGAAAACATACAACCTCCCAAAGTCGAACCGGGAAGAAATTGAACTCCTGAATAGACCAACAATGTGTAGTGAGACTGAATAGGTAATAAGAAGAACTGGTGCCAATTCTAATGAAACTGTACCAAAATACCAAGAAGGAGAGAATCCTGATCTTCAGCAAAGCAGACAAAAACATACCTTGGAAAAAGGACACATTTTTAATAAATGGGCTGGGAAAATTGGAGATCTACAGGCAGAAGAATGAGATTAGATCCCCATCTCTCACTATACATAAAAACTTACTCAAGATGGATGAAAGACTCAAATGTAAGATCTGAAACCATATAAATCCTAGAATAAAACCAAGGAAAAATTTTTCTGTACATTGGCCTACATAAAGAATTTATGACTAAGACCCCAAAACCAAATGCAACATAAACAAAACTAGAAAAGTGGGACTTAACTACAAAGCTTCTGCACAGCAAAAGAAATAATCAAAATAGTTAATAGACAGTGGGAGAAAATATTGGCAAACCATGTGTGCAACAAATGACTAGTATCCAGAATCTGCAAGAAACTCAAACAATTAAGTGAGGGGAAAAAACAGCTCCCTTAAAAAGTGGGCAAATAACATGAACAGGAATTTTTCAAAAGATATACAAATGGCCAAAAAACATGAAAAAATTCTTACCATCACTAATCAGAGAAATGCAAATTAATGCAATCAGAGAAATTCAAATTAAACCCACAATAATGCACTATCTTACTCCTATTAGTATAACCATTATTAAAAAGTAAAAAAAACAATAGCTGTTGGTATGAATACAGTGAAAAAAGAACATTTAGACATTATTGGTAGGAATGTAAATTAGTAAAACCTCTAGGAAGATCAGCATGGAGGCTTCTCAAAAACCTAAAAGTAGATCTACCAATCGATCCTGCAATCCTACTACTAGGTATCTACCCAGAGGAAAAGAAATCATATAAAAAAAAATACCTGCACTTATATGTTTATCGTGGCACAATTCACAATTGTAACGATATTAAACCAACCTTTGTGCTCATCACCTGATGAGTAAAGAAAATGTGATATATTAATATAGTGGAGTACTACTCAGCCATAAGAAAGAATAATGTCTTTTGCAGCAAAATGGATAAAACTAGAGGTCATTATCCTAAGTGAAAAACTCAGGAACAGAAAAATAAATACCACATGTTCTCATTTATAAGTGAAAGCTAACCTATAGCTACACAAGGACACATAGGGTGGTATAATGGACATTGGAAACTCAAAAGGGGGAATGGTGGGAGGGGGTGAGGAATGCAAAATTACCTATTGGGTACAATGTACATTAGAGGATACAAAAGTCCAGACTTCACCACTATACAGTATATATATGTAACAGAATTCAACATGCATCCTCTAATTCTATTAAAATAAAAAGGAAAGCCAAGATGGCTGACTAGAGACAAACCTTGTTGGTTGACCTGGCACAAGAGTTGAGGATTAGACTGAGGAGAGTGGAGAGTGATTACTATTTGCAAGTGGACCCCGGGTGTAGACAGCACTGGAGTGCGGGACCACCACCAGGAAGAACTGAGCAAGAGGAAGACAGAAGGGAATAATCAGTGTGAACTAATTCCAGGAAGTTCCAGAGCCCAGAGAAAGGGTAGGGTTTCCCCCCCTCCCCCACCCAGGTGCCTCAGGCCAGAAACCAGACTCTTATCCCATAGGGGAGTGCCACAAACCAGACTCTTATCCCATAGGGGAGTGCCACGAGAGACCAGATAGTCAGCATCCCTGCATCTGGATGCCTCCTCCTCTGTACCTCCTCCACTCCTGGCCTCCTAGGAAGTAATTTTGGCCCAAGCCACTCCTAGCTGTGTGGCCACAACCACCACATAGCAACCACCAAAGTGCCCTGCACTGAGTAACTTGGCTCCCTGCAACAAGAGCAACACTCTCAGCCAACCTGCCTCAGTCAGCATAGCCACTGCCAGGGCTTGGACAGGAGGGCAGTTGTGCTGCTGTGGCCATGGCTAGGACAGAAGGGTGGAAAGATGCCCCTCCAAACTCAAAAGCAGTGCAGGCAACTCCACAGCCCCTTCCCCCAACCATTATAGCCACCAGAGTTCTCTGTGCTGAGTAACCTGCTTTTAGCACTAGGGGCATGTTTCCACCCCCAGCCAGCAGGGCAACCTCAGTATGTGATTCCCCTTCCCACAGACATTTGGCACATTCACCTGCTGACAGCATAGATGGCAGGGTGGGGAGGCATGGGAAAGGATTCTGGTTCCAGGGTCAGACAGCAAGTGAAAGCCTGTGCCCATCAGAAGTGTGTGGAGAAGCATAACAGAGCAGGCTTCTGCGGGTGAGCCCCATCTTTCCCCCAGAACAACCATCTTAGAGTCTGCTGTGCCACTGTGACTCAATTTGCATAAGTACTGGTTCCCATGGCAACTAAATGCCTCAGGTGCCACAGGCTGAATAGGAGCAACTGCCCCAACCCCCACTCACTTCAACAGGAAGTTCAGCTTGAACCAAGAGCTCCTTAAGCTGCCACTACTCCCCAGGTGGGAGCATCCATTGGCAGAGACTTCTGGGGATAGAGAGGCCCACCTGCCTCACCTTGGGGTCTAGTGGTGGAAAGGGGATGCACAATTAGAGATCCCCCATCTGCCAGCAACACACAGAGACACACACCAGTGGGCCAGACACATGAACTTTGGGGAAGCTCAAGAGCCCATTTTGGGAAGACAGGAAACTGATTGAAGGGGAAAGTGCCCAGGTTTGTGGAGAAGGATGGAAAAACAGCTGGAGGCCTCCACAATCACACAAGTAAGCCCCTCCCATCAGAAGTAGCCCTCTAAGCTTGGAGAGAGAGCACTGAACTCTGTATCAGTGGCTCCCCCTAGCAGCTGGATAAGCAACCTCTGAGCCTCATAAGAGCTCACACACCCAGGCTCTTGCATCTCAATCAATCTTGCTCCTCCCCCCACTTCAGGGGTGGGAAGCAGGGTCCAAGCAACCCCTGGAAGCTACAGGGCTCCTTCCAAAGCTTGGGGCATTCATATGCCCTACTGGGGGGACAAGAGCCTACCACAGGCACAATAGATTACCTCAGTAACTGGTCTTCCATGTAAACACTAATCAATGACAGTAGGAACAACTCCATAGCTAAACATAGTGCCTTCCCTCTCAAGCTATTAGGGAGCAGTGGATTCATACTACAAGTACAATCCACCAGCTTGGAGTTTAAGCTGGGGGACCAAATTCACTACACTCTGTTGGGAAGAGGTGAAGATTCATACTACAAGTAAAATCCACCAGCAGTGGATTCATACTACAAAAGTACAATCCACCAGCTTGGAGTTTAAACTGGGGGACCAAACTCACTACACTCTATTGGGAAGAGGTGAAGATAACAGTTCTGAGGTAACCTAAGAGGTTTATCAAACTTGCTAAAACCTAAAGCAATTTAGGATCAGTGCTCCTCTCCCTGGCACTATCAGGGAATGATCTTTGGGGACTTGAAGACAGGGCCATAAACCAGCTCTAGCACCCCTACTTCTCAATCAAGAGGCTAGATGAGAAAGAATCAGCAAAAGAACTCAGGAAATATGAAATATCAGAGCAAAACGTCACCCCCAAAAGAAATCATTAGCTTCTCAGCAACAGATATGAACTTAAAATGGTTAAAATAACAGATGAAGAATTTCAAATATGGATTGTAAGCAAGCTCAATGAAATTCAAGAGAAAATAGAAACCAAACACAAAGAAGCCACAAAAAACAATGCAGGAAATAAATGAAAAATTCTCTCAAGAAATCATATTATGGAAAAACCAAAAATTCTAGAAATGAAAGATGCATTTAAGGAATTAGAAAACACAGGGGAAAGCCTTAAGAATAGGCTGGATCACAAAGAAAGAATCTCAGAGCTTGACGATAACACTTATGAGCTAAACAAGTCAGTCAAAGAGAACACAGAAACAAGAGTCAGACATCCCTGAGGGTGAAGAAGAAAATACATAAGGGCTGGAAAATCTGTCCAAAGGAATAATTAAGAAAATTTCCCTGGCCTAGCCAGAAATCTAAATATCCATGCACAAGAAGCATACAGGATACTCCTGGGAGATTCAACGTGAAAAGACAATCACTACATCACATAGTTATTAGGCTGGCCAAAGCAAACACAAAAGAGGCACTCCTCCTAGCAGTAAGGTGAAACAGCAGGTAACCTACAAAGGAAAACCTATCAGACTAACTGCAGATTTCTCAATTGAAACCTTATAAGCCAGAAGGGACTGGGGATCCATCCTTAGTCTTCTAAAACAGAATAATAGCCAGCCTAGAATTTTTTATACTGCAAAACTAAGCTTCTTATATGAGGGAGAAATAAAGACCTTCCCTGACAAGCAATTACTGATGGAATTTGTGAAGATCAGACCTGGCCTGCAGGAAGTACTCAGATATGCATTATACACTAACCAGAGGAATAGCCACCCACCAGTGTAAAATCATCTAAAAGCTAAAGTCCAGAACCTTGATTTCACAATGGTTCAAAAGGTAAAACAAAATAATACCATGTTTCCCTGAAAATAAGACTGGGTCTTATATTTATTTTTCCTCAAGATGACACCCTAAGGCTTATTTTCAGGGGATGTGTTACTTTCTCCTCAAAGCCTCAGTTTGCAGCATGCACAGGATGGCCAGGACCTGACAGCGGGAGCCGATCTTGTTGGTGGGGCAGCCCACACCTTTCTGGTCAACTCTGGGATAGTAGCTGTCATGATGGGGCAAATGAGAAGGGCTGCTCGTCTTCTTTATGTCTTCTTACGTCTTCTTTTCATGCTCCACAACTAAATGTATGGGTTGTGCAGATATGCTGCGTAGCCACGCCCATCACTAAGTCTTATTTTCGGGGTAGTGCTTATATTGTGTAAATGCTTAGAAATCCTGCTAGGGCTTATTTATGGGTAGGTCTTATTTTCAGGGAAACACAGTAGGAGTCCACCCAACAGGATAAACAGAAATCCACCTCAATATCAATTTTCTCAGTAACTGTGAATGGCTTGAATCACCCACTGAAGAGACATAGGGTGGAAAAATGGATTAAAAACACAAGTCAAGTATCTGTTATCTCCAGGAAATGTATCTTACCCACAAAGACTCATCCAGACTCATGGTAAAGGAATGGAAAACAATTTTCTAGGCAAATGGAAATCAAAAGAAAACTCAGCCATTCTTATATCAGACAACAAACTTTAAAGCAACAAAAGTAGAGAAAGAAAAAGATGGTCATTATATAGTAGTGGAGGGAAAAACTTCAACAAGATGACTTAACAATCCTAAATACTTATGCACCCAACACAGGAGCACCCAGATACAGAAATCAAATCCTGCTTGATCTAAACAAAATGATAAATAGCAATGCCGTAATAGCTGGGGACTTTAACACACCACTGACAGAACTGGAGAGATCTTCCAAGCAGAAAATAACAAACAATGGACTTAAGCAGAACTGTGAACAAATGGGGCAAATAGACATCTGCAGAACATTCCACCCAAACAACATTGAATATCTGTTCTTCTCATTAGCTCATGGAAATTTCTCTAAAATTGATCACATCCTAGGCCACAAAATAGATCCCAAAATATTTTAAAAATAGAAATTATACCGTGTATCTTCTCAGACCACAGTGAAATAAAATTAGAAATCAAGTCCAACAGAAACACCGAACTGTACACAAAGTCAAGAAAATTAAATACTCTATTGCTGAATGATTATTGGGTCAAGGAGGAGATTCGGATGGAAATCAAAAGATTTGTTGAACTAAATGACAATTAGGACACAAGTTATCAAAATCTGTGGGCTATAGCAAAAGCAGTCCTGAGAGAAAAACTCATAGCCTTAAATACCCACATCCAAAAGACGGAAAGATCATAAATCAATAAACTAATGGATGATCACCTCAAGGAATTTGAAAAGGAAGAGCAAATCAATCCCAAACTCAGCAGAAGAAAAGAAATAACCAAGAGCAGAGTACAGCTTAATGAAATTGAGAATAAAAGAACTATACAGAACATTAATAAAACAGAAAGTCTGTTCTTTGAAAAGATAAAAATCGACAGGCCTCTTGCTAGATTGACCAGTAGCAGAAAGGAAAGAAATTTAATAAGTTCAATTAGAAATGAAAAAGGAGAAGTCATGACTGCTATCACAGAAATACAAAACATTATTTTTCAATACTATAAAAATCTCTATGCCCCAAAACTTGAAGACATGGAGGAAATGGACAAATTCTTAGAAACACACAACGTCCATAGGCTCAGTCAGTAAGAAACAGAATTCCTGAATAGACCAATATCAAGCACTGAAATTGAAGCAGCAATAAAAAATCTTCCAATAAAAAAGTCCCAAATCAGATGGGTTCACACCCGAATTTTACTAAACCTACAAAAAATAACAGGTACCTATACTGCAGAAATTATTCCACAACACCGAGAAGGATAGAATCCTCCCCAACTCATTCTACAAAGCTAATATCACTTTGATACCAAAGCCAGGAAAGGACATAACAAAAAGGGAAAACTACAGACCATTATCCCTTATGAATATAGATGCAAAAATTCTCAATAAAATCTTAGCAAACCAAATTCAATTGCACATCAAAAAAAATGATTCAGCATGACCAAGCAGGCTTTATCCCAGAGGTGCAAGGATGTTTTAACATACACAAATCTATAAATGTAATTCACCATATTAATAAAAAAACAAAGACCATATGATCCTCTCAATAGACACAGAAAAGGCATTTGACAAAATCCAGTACCCTTTTATAAGAACTCTTAACAAAATAGGCATAAATGAGTCATACCTCAAAATTATTAAATCCATATATGATAAATCCACAGCCAACATCATACTGAATGGGAAAAAACTAAAAGCACTACTGCTCAGAACTGGAACAAAACAAGGTTGCCCACTATCTCCACTTCTATTCAGCATAGTTCTGTAAGTCCTTGCCAGAGCAAGCAGACAAAAGAAGGTATTTAAGAGTATCCAAATGAGGGCAGAAGAGATCAAACTATTGCTCTTTGCTGGTGATATGATATTATATGTAGAAAACCCCAAGGATTCAATCAAGAGACTCCTGGAATTGATAAATTAATTCAGTAAAGTCTCAGGATACAAAAATCAATGCACACAAAGCAGTAGCTTTCATATACACCAATAGCAGTCAAGGTGAGAATCAAATCAAAGATGTAATACCTTTCACAATAAGCTTTAAAGAAAATTAAATATTTGGTAATATATTTAACTAAGGAGGTGAGAGACCTATATAGGAAGAACTATGAAACACTAAGAAATTGCATAAGATGTAAGCAGA